CCATCCAGCTTCAAATGACTCTAGGGATGGGACATCCACAACTTCTCTGAGCAACTTGATCGAGTGGCTTATCACCTTCTGAGTAAAGAATTTCTTTACAATATCTAACCTAAATCTCCCTTCCTTTAATTCAAAGCCATTCCCCTTGTCCTATCACTATCAGACCATGTAAAAAGTTGCTCTCCTTCCTGTTTATAAACTCTGCTTAGGTATTGGAAGGCCTTCTCTTCTCCAGTCTGAACAAGTTCAGCTCCCTCAACCTTTGTTCATAGGAGAGATGCTCCAGCTCAACACTCCATGTCCTCGTGTTGAGGACCCCAGGCCTGGATGCAATACGCCACATGGGATCTCATGAGGGCAGAGTAGAGGGGAACAATCACCTCCCTCTCTCTGCTGGTGACATCTCTTTTGACGCAGACGAAGATACAATTGGCTGTCCAGGTTACAAGTGCACACACTACTGGCTCATGTCAAGTTTTTAGTTCACCAGAACCTCTAAGTCCTTCTCTCCAGGGCTGCTCTTAATGAGTCTCCTCTCATGTCTTGGATTGCCCCGACTCAAGTGCAATACCTTGAATTTGGACTTGCTGAGTCACATTCAGCTTACAGGGATCCATTTCTCAAACTTACCTAGATGCCTTTTGATGACATCCCTTCCTTCTATTATATCAACTGCACTACTTGGCTTAGTGTCATCTGCAGACTTGCTGAGTGGTTGTTCTTTTTCTTCTACTCATTCTATATACAGTTCTCAGAGAATCAAAGAATGACTGGTGTTGGAAGGTGCCTCTGGAGATCAGTTCATCCCTGCTCAAAGCAGAGTCAACCAATGTGCATTGCTAATGTCCATATCCAGTTGGTTTTTGAGTATCTCCAACCACAACCACACAGAATCCACAATCTCACTTGGCAACTTGTTCACTTGTTTGATGTATCTCACAGTAAATTTTATTATTAATATTATTAAGTGGAATTTTCTTTATTTCCTGTCCTTTGCCTCTTGTCATTTCACTTGGTACATCAGAGATGAGTTTTTACTCATCTTCTTTAATTTTCCCATCAGGTACTTAAACATACTGGCAAGAACATCCTGAACATTCTCTTCTCCAGGCCAAAAAAACCTGCAATTCTTTCAGCCTTTTGTTGTATGATTGGTGCACCAGTTCCTTAATAATGTCATGCTCCTTCACTAGACTTGTTCAATTTGCTCCACGTCTCTTTTGTCCAGGTGGGCCCAGACCTGAATCCAGCACTCCAGAAGTAGTCTTAACAGACTGAGCAGAGCAGAAGGATTACCTCCCTTGACCTGCTGGCAACACTCTTCCACATGCAGAACATGATGTTTTTGGTTGCCTTTGCCTCAAGAGAGCACTGCTGAATCATGTTCAACTTGTTGTCCACCAGGATACTCAGCCAGGTATTTTTCTGAAATTCTACTCTCCAGAGAGATGACCCTCCATATGCACTGGTGCATAGGGTTACTCTACTTGAAATGCTGGATTCTACATCATAAATTCATAAAGTTCCTGTTCATTCATTTCTCCAGACTGTTGAGATCCTTCTGGATTCCAACCCTCCAACATATCAGCCATTACTCCAGCTTTGTGTCATTTACACACCTGCTGAGTGCACTATGTCTCATAAACCAGGTCATCAGTGAAAAGATTAAACAGTACTGAATCCATTTTTGGCCCCTGTGGTACTCGACTAATGACTAGCCTCTGGCTGCACTTCAGGCTGCTCATCATAACCCTTTCAGCTCTCCATTTCAGACAGTTTTCAGTACAACTCACTGCTCGTTTATCTATGACATGCTTCCACGTCTTGTTCTTGTGTGAATTTATCTCAGTCTTCCTTAATTATTAGTAAGAGTGTTACTTGGTAATCTCATTTAATCACCTGTTGCCCATTTTATGTGTGCTATCATTACAATGACTTTTAGTTGACATAACACAAACGACTCCTTAAAATAGCTTAGCCTTACCTTCTTCCGCTGTCAACAACCATTCATTAAGATGATATTTCTTTCCTCTGAATTAGTCTTTCATCAGTTATAAAACTATGTGCTCTTACTCTGTATTTTCATATTTCTATTACTCTTGTCAAAGACTTGATCAAATCCTTTAATAGAGCCAAGTAAATTGTATCCCCTCTGTCTTTTGCACTCTATTTTAAAAACCTTTTCAAAGAATTCTAACAAGCTAATGAAACATGTCTAGTTATAAGTGAAACCATATTTTTAAATCTATTGCCAACAACTTTTAGTTCTTTCCCTTACTCCAAACACAGTTAGTAGACACTTCAGCGTAAAATACAATATTGTTTTACCATCTTCTCCCTTAATGCCACAAGGAGACTTCAGGAAGTATTTTTACTGAAACAATCAAAGAAATGACATCTTTGGCGTGCTCTGGACACCAAAATCCCAGTTTTCATTCACCACATGCTGCTGTGGAAGAATAATGCAGATCAAAGAAAATAAAGGATTGTCCCATTCTTCTAGTAGTGAACTCTGCTATGCATTAGGCAGAATCAATACAAACACAAAAATCACTGTTCATTACACCAACATTACTTCCACATAGGAAAGTGGTAGAAGTGACACCAATTTTACAGAAGACATTTGAGCAATGTAGAGTACACTTGACTCAGTAAGTCCTACAAAGAAAGCAAAATTCTTAGGGAGAGTTCAGAAACAATGTAAGAAACATAAGATATCATAAATTTGAGGCTAGAAATTTAGTGTTGATTTAAAATTTCCTTCACATAAAATAAGCACAGCTACCAGTAGGTTATTCAAAAGGTTTCTGTCACTGAAGTTAACTGGGGTTAACAAGAAAACACTTCAAGAAACTAACAGTAACATTGTTTCAGCAGAGCACCTCTTATTTTTGAGGCAGAACAATCTTTCTGGGCTTTCCAGATTCTGCAATGTTCTTGGTTAGGGAAATTGTTTCAGAAAGCTAGAAATGACTCCAGTACATCAGACAAACTTAAAGATTGCCCTTCTGATAGCCAAAGCACATTTTGGTCATAGTGCTCTGTTTTTCAACCCTAGATCTTATTTACGCCATGCCTTGTGGATGGAACTGAAAATGAAGTCATAAAAGGATGTAGATATGTAATAGGTAGTGCTTGCAAGTTCGGGCCTTCATGCTGTATGCACAAAATATGTTCCTTCATCAATCATATATCTAATTACCGCTTTTATAATGGATTTGGAAGACTGTGTCATTGTTATAATTTTCAAATTACTTAAGAAAATGGCAAAGAAGTAGGTATAAAGAAAGTTTATCTGCCATTTAGGCTGCCTTCCAGTCTGTCTGCCATCCATTTCCTCCTCTATGTTCCTTTTTATATTTTTCACTACTGAATTGTTATCCAAGCTGACAATACAGATCTACTTATCTTCCTTATCCCCAATTGGATAGCAAGAAAGGCAATGCAAAGGAAAGAACAAAACTTATGTTTTCCCCTAGTAAGTAGCACCTTGAATGGAGAATTCTAAGCAGGATTTCTTAGAAGAAAAAAAAAAAAAAAGTTATTTCATCCTCATTATCAATTCAGTTATGTTTTAGTTATAATCATCCTAAGCATAGTAAGTGCAATGCCACTCACTAGACTATGTGAAATAAGTAGTGCAGAAAGCTACGTCTCAGTTTAATGCTATTGAGATTTATTTCTGCAAACAGTAATATTTGGATTCTTTCCCCAAAAGACGAGTGACTGCTCCTTTTTGTATGTTGCAATGTGGCTTTTAAATCTTATTTAAAACTAACACTTATTATTCTCCTTCTTATCATAAGGCCCAAACTATATTTAATTTCACGCTGCAGTGAAATAACAAATATATTGTTAAGCACAGAGAGGTGCAGTGGTTACCATTTGTGAAGAGTTAATCATAAAATTCTAGATTTTATTGTTTAATACAGAAATTCATTTACTTGAAAGTGTCAACTTAGTTGAAACAGCAATAATAAACAAAAACAATTTGTTGTCCTTATAAAATCTGTAGGTGGTATTAATTCTGTAACATATGCTAGCAGTACAGTGGCAGAACAGATTTCATTTAAACCAGATTTCATTTTAAATGAAAGAGATGAAAGCACAGGGGACTCACTTATGTTAGTGGCACACGTTAGAGGTAACAAAAATGCAGACTGTCATGTGGCAATGATGGCATACACCAAAGAAGAAGAAAAAAAAGGAAAAAAAAAAATAAACAGGAGTTCATAGTTTGGATCAAAATCACTTTCTACATGGGATTTTTTTTTATTTGCTTGGCTGAGTTTTTTGCTTTTTTTTCTACAACTTTGTCAAAGTAAGGACCCTGTAATGTAAAAGTTAATCTTTATTTCTTTAAACTGTCCCTGCCTCATGTAAAAATATTTAGCTGGGACATTTATTCAGACATTTCTGACAATTTCAATAATTTTTTCAGGTGGTGGAAATCCATCATGCTTTGAGGCCTTTTGAATGCTGTGGGAAGCATTTTTTGTCTCTGCCTGTTAAAGGCTAGAAAAGCACATCGACAATCAGCAACTACTAGATACCTGTTGGAAATAAATTAATATTGGCATATTTGACAGCATAAACAGTAGTTACAAGAAGAAAGGATTAATTTCTCAGACTGTACTATACAATGTTGTCTTCTAAGATACATAAAAGTAAGATACACAAATAGGACAAGCTATTCATTTTAGGCCTTTCAATGTCTGCACTATTCCTTGGTAAAAAAAAGTCCTATCACATACAGAAAAACATGGGAAGCTTTCATAGGTGGACTTGCACAGGCTTGTGGGGTTTTGTTTGGTTGTTCTGTGGAATTAAGGAAGTTACAGACACAGAAATTTCTCCTTTACTGTTGTTAGTTAAAAAAAAAAAAAAAAAAAAGCTTTGTTTAAAAAGAACCTAACACTTTGAGACAATGTTCTTTGAAAACCAAATATTATATTTTCTTTTCAATTTTTTTAATAGTATGTGTCACATATATCATTTACCTATCTCTGACGCAGCCACTGTGATGTTGTACCAAGGTGTTTCCTCTCTGTCAAAGATCTTGGCAGTTTTAATGGTTCCAGTATTAGCATCAATGGTGAAATATCTATCTTCTTCTGTGTTATAATCAATGAAATATCTAAGGAGAAATAAAATAGTAAATACATACTCATTGTAAAAAGTATGATCCAAGGTAACAGAAAGCTACATTAGAATATTACTTTCAGTCTTTCAGAGATTGTGGAGATTTTAGAAAACATCCTAAGAAAAATTCTGTATTATGGGGATGCCTGAAGTACCATTGTCTTTCACTTCTTTCATAATATTATTTGATCTTTTGATATATAATAAGATTTCCACTATGAGTCACAAATACATAGATCGCTAACAGGTGATATTTTAGACAGCAGTGCTCATTTCTGTCAAAAGACACTGAGCATATTTACTTTGATTATAACATACAACGGAAAGGCAGAAAAGAAAACAGAAAAATATTCTTCTGCTTAAACACCCTGTTCAGTCCCGGTACCTGTTTTGAAGCATGTCTTTTTGACATGAAGTTGATGACATGGCAACATAAGCCATTTTAAACATGTATATTACAAAGACTAGAAGCAGAAACAGCTGATTCCCAGAGATGCTGTTGACATTAGCCTAGAAGCCTAGCAGCATCCCTCCTTAACTCCCTTGGCTTCTGGGCACTTTGCCTAGCAGAGAATGTAAAAACCTTTAAGTGGGTAATGGAATCAGATGGGAACACAAAAGACAAGATTGACAAGACATTTTTTTTTTTTTTTTCACAAAGCCTGAATCGCTTACAGTAGCTTTTAACAAATGAACCAATTACACACCCCTATTAAACCTTCTCTTTTAGACCTGATGAGGAAACAAGGAACAAGACAGAGCCTTTTATGTACCATGATTGTTTTCCTTGATAATTTGCCAGCCTTGCTTTCATTCTGGGATATTTTTAATATATGGAAACTACATATAGATTGAAATGATTTATTTGTCCCATCCAACTGCTCTTATTTCTACATTACCAAAGGTTTAATTGCCAACTAATAAAAAGTGGTGCACATGAAGGCTGCAAAGCTCAAAAAATTAAAAATAACTTCAGTTTTATTACTCTAATAATGTACTTATTTAGACCATTTACAGAAATGGAAAACAAACAAGAAACATTTGGATGAATGATAGAAAAAAATAAGATATGCTTTGTGAAAAAGCAAAGGAAATAAAGGACTAGAGGAGGAGGTAGCAATTTGAATAAATCACCTTAACTGTTCAAAGGACATGAGAGAAGGTAAAAGCCAGCTAGGATGTGATGATTTTTCCTATTAGAGAGAAACTGAACTCATCTCTTCCAGCAGTAAGAAATATTTTACATATGGGTAATTTGGGTTGTGGCATTTAAGATTTGTCTTTTCACGTTTCCTGTATTTTAAAGAGTTAAAAATATGTTCCAGGCACTGGAAATCTGAGCGGACCAAAGCAGGCTAGAAAATCTTTCCTTTTTGATTCTTTGCATCCTTTCTCTCACCATCCCAAAGAGTGAAACAGCCCCCATATGACTGTGGGGGTGGTTTGAGCAACAGCAAACCTTTATGCTTCTCTGGAATAAAAATTTAACTTACCTTCTCCTATCCAAACTAAGTCAGAACCCATGTGACCCACCAATTACCAACACTTGGGAACATCTCATTATAAAATACTTCAAAAGTGCTCAGTGATGAGACTTAAGATGTGGAAGATGGCAGTGGAAGTTGCTTCAAGCAGAAAAAAAAGACTTAAAAGGTCTCCATATTAGAAGTAAGCTGGAAAGATCTTGAATATTTAGGAGACGGGAGAATCACTCTTAAAGAATTCAAGTCAGGGAGTATTCTTCCAGAAAACATTATTTAATCATTGTATCTTCAGTTGGATCAAAAAAAAAAAAGCAAAAAACCAAACCAAACCAAAACAAAAAAAAACCAACAACAATAAAGCAAGCAACATAGATAGAAAAGAGTAATAACAATAATAATAAATTATGAATTACTAATTTCTGAACCATAGAGCTTGTTGCAGACACACTTTAGGAAGTTGATATGCTTAGTAAACTCAATACATAAATTGAGAATAAATTATTGACACTGATCATGACAAAATAAATGTTACAGATATCCAAGCAAATCTGTATTGCTTTCAAGAAATACTGGAATCTGCTGTGGACACACTGCAAAGCAAGAAAAAGACCTCCACAGTTATTCTCTTGGTATCTTATCTAGCAATATTGGTCCAAGCTACCCACACACTGGGAATCAGAATTCACTTTTGAGTTTCAGAACAATTGATTTTACCAGTGTTTCTGCTGGTCTTAGTCTACTAAAAAGAAAGCTGTGCAGAGCTAATCAACTGTGAGCTGGATTTGCAGGTTCTCCAAACAGTTACTTGTAACGGAAATGTTTTGAAAGATTGATCCAATATCAGTGGAAAAGTTTTACTTCCTATGCAGGCAGATAGTCCTACCTTTTCCTAACTACAAAGGAACTTTGTAGCCAGAGTGGAATCAAATTCAGAAAGTACATACAGCTGCCCTGCTTGGCACAGAGCTGTGTTAAGATTTGAAGTCTATCCAGAAGATGCATGCTTCAATTGGATCAGTGCCTCCAGGCCTTATATTTCATACTTGGCAATGCAGGCAACCTGACAAATTTTTGGACCATGTTAGCTGTGCTATTGTTAAGGGAGAAATAATGAAGTCTAGTTGTGTTGGACAAGATGGACAGCACATGCATACACAGACCTCATCTGCAAGAAGAAGTGGAATAGTGACAGAGGAAAGATGGAAAGAATAACTTTTCACCAAATAATTCTCCTGGAGACCTTAGCAAGACCCTTTACTGTCACAATTCTCTGTCAGGCATGTGATGACAAAATGTAATTCCTTCTCCCTGACTACAGCCTTGTTTGTGGCTCTAGAGGTCTCCTGAAAATTACATGAATTATTTACCGAAAAACAAATCAAATCAAAACAAAACAAAATCTTCACTGAGCTATTCTTATGGAATATGTATTCTTAATTAAAAATATATATATATATATATTATACGTGAATCTTGTCTGCAAACATTTACTACTGATGGCAGTGTTTACTTATTACCAACATCAGACAGTGACTACTCTGAGAGTCAATATTGTGCTAATAACCATAAAAAGTAGGACTATTTGCAGACATAAACTTAAAAATAGACATAGTTTCAAATTGGGGTTAAAAAAAAAAGCTATAGCAATACACTGCTGCTTTTTTGCATGTCTAATTCATAATTATAACAAATTATTACTTTTCCCTCTATGAGGAAGCAAGAGAACCAAAAAGAACAAGTATCTCTACCAAATATGAAGCTTATGTAGAAAAACTGAAGCTTAATCCTGCTGTGAATTGTGACACCCTAACACATCATTTTCATAGACATATAACAAAACATTGCCTTAGACTTTGAAATATGAACAGTTTTTTTTTCTAAGTCACTTACTTAAATGTATTCTATATAAGCTGAAAGCTCAGTATTGGATGAATAATTTAAATTGCACTTTCTATGTCACTCATAGAAATAAAACAATCCTGAGGTGATTCATTCAGTACCACTTTCATTTCCAGTGACAACAGCAAAATAAGGAATTATAATAATTTATCCACAGCAGCACTTTCTCTCTACATCCTAACTTTTTCATATAGTTACAGCATATTAAAACATCTAGAGCTCAACAGAATTTTTCTTGATCATGTATGAATAAAACAGTGGCCCTGTCTAAGGCTTTCTTATTATGAAGTTTATTTCTTTCCCATTGATCCATATTCTTCTTAAATATTGCAAAAATATTCCTAAATAAAGCAGCCATTTGCACTACTGGGTCTCCCATCCTTCATGAATGTCTGCGTGAAACAAGCTACAAATGACATTCTCAAAGAGCAAAGGAACTATGAATATTAATATAAAGCTCTACACTCAGATATCCTGAAAATATTTTGTAGGATAGAGCCACTCATTCTTGTCACATGTAAGAGGACATATAGAACAAGTTTCATTGTATTTATAAAGCACTTAACATTTTAAGGCTTTATAAAATATGAGCCACAAAGTTCTCTATATGCTGATTTTGGCTGGGACAGAGTTAATTTCCTTGCTAGAAGCTGGGATGTTGATTATGGGTTTTTCTAGGTTGCAAAGAGCTATAGTGCAAGTTTAGAATTTCAAAGTTATGTCAAAAGTAAATTTTCACCATGACTATGCATGATGCAGATCAGCAACAGAATACACTCTTACACTAAATTACATTTAGAAGGATTATGAACACAGAAAACCTATTAGTCACAGTTCCCAAAGAGTGTTTGAAGAAAATAAGTATCAAAACTATAGGCACTGAGAAATTCAACATGTATCATCTTTTTTTTTTCACAAAGAGTCACAGAATGGAATGGCATTACCAGCCTTCTTATTCCTACTTCTGACCAAACCCCCAGCTTCTGTGACTTCACATCTTGTTTCCAGGATTTTAGTGAAGCAGCGGTTCAGTGAAGACAGATATTCCCACTTTTTTTTTTTTCATTTTTCTTTTAACTTTTTTTTTTTAAACCAAAAGTGCTTGCATGAATTAGGAAATAAAGAGAAAAAAAACTACATGCAAGATGGGCCCTAGGCGCTCTTGACATATAAAGCAGTTTGCATTTTAAAGTAGTTGGGTTTTAATAGCACAGAGAATGCCTGAGCATGAAGAAGGTTCTAAAAGATGCCAAAGGAGTTTAATAACAATCACTGAATCTTTTAGAAGGGTTTCTGAAGATAAAACTCATAATTATTTTCATAATCTAAATGATTTTGCTTTGAAATAACATTAAAATCAGTTTGGTAATTGACAAATAAGTGGTATAGTCTGTTAAGATCCCAGCATCCACATCCAGTTTTTATGTTTCATAGTTAAGCCTTGAATTTGAGATTTTAAATAGTATTTTGAACTTTTGACTTGTCTTTTTTTGTTGTTGCTTTTTGTAATTAAGCAAGTCTTTAAGACATTCCTTCATTATGCTATTATTATTTATTACTAAATTTAATACAAGCAAACAAGAACTCTTTCAAAAATTACTACCTTGTCTAC